AAAGAAAGAAAAACAAATTGTTTCATTTTTACATTAAAAAAATTAATTACGAAGAAATTTTTTACTCGACCCGCGTACGTGCTTTTAAACTTTGAAAAATTACACAATTTACAATTAGACAAATTTTGTAGAATTATCTCCTTCCAAATTATTCGTTCTCTTGAAAAAGAAAAAAAGAAAAAAAAAAAGAAAAAAAAAACAAACATTTCTATGCCAATTTTAAGAAACGTACTAACGAAAAAAAAAAAAATAAAAATAAAAAGAAAGTTAAAATAAAATCACGTTACCAAATTACGAGATCAAAGTTATATAACCTATTACAAATTATAAATTATATCACAAGTAATAGTATAAATCGTTTTAAAAATGATTTCATTATAAGAATAACAATATTTATTCGGTATCTTCAACACGTGTCTAAAGAATAACATATGCGTTGAGATTTTCAAACAGGACAGGAGGGTAAATGATGCGTTATTTCGTCAAGGATTAAGAACATAAAGGCAAACGATTTTCTTCCGAAGAAGGGTGCTACAGAGTAGTACTTCTCGAATAAACTAAATGATACAGGTTACGTGAACGCCGTGAAAAAATACTTGGAATGAAACGTGCCAGGGATTTTCTATAGTAATATCCTCGAGAAAATAGTTAACAAATCCCTTTCCGGATAAAAATAACATCCTTCAACGCGTGCTAACTTGTTTTTTAAATCTTCTCTTCTTTATTTATTATTATCTTCGTTCATTGTTAAAATACGTTTTAATATTTGTACAAAAATTTTCTGTATATATACTGGTGTCCCATAATATAATTTTATTTAAACAATATATAATATAATATTTTAATTATTAATTAATATCGGGGAGATGATGGGTGGGGTTGTGTGAAAGAAATCAAATAAAAAACTTACATAATGTTTTTCTGTAAATTGTTAATAATATATAGAATTGTATTTCTATAATATTAATAACTAATATCAGCAAATGTATATTTTTTTGTAGAAAACAAGTAAGACAATATGTTACCTGAATAGGAATGAATTTTTTCCGATTATACGATTCTAAAAATATATTTGTTATTTTCCATTTATATTGCATATATACATATTTATATTTAATGTAATATGCAAAAATGTATTGTCATGCATATGCATAATAATATACATTAATTATATCATTTGAACACACTTTAACGCGTTCACAATAAAATCATTGCGAATGTAACGTTAAATGATTCAATTGAGAGATAAATGAATTGCTAGAAGAAGAAAAACAAAAATACAAACAAATTTGAATGAAAATGAATATACCATTTTGAAAAATAATATACAATTTTATCGATTTATTACAAATTGTAAGTATTTTAAAATACGGCGTTGAGAATAAATTTAATTGTAATTGCAGAACATACACACACACAGTCCAATTACATCGTGCGATATAGAGAGGTCATTTTCCGCAGATAAATTAATTTTAATAAATAAACGTGTTATACCAATTAACAAAATCAAATTTTTTCAAATATTCTCATTAAATTTATCATAATATATGTGTTGTTATTAAAATACATCAAATATATAGATATTTTTCATATTTAAAATTATACATATTTCCATATTAATCTTCAATCTGAATAAACGAGCTTGCCAATATTATCTAAATTATTACGAATAAATAATTTTATAAAATTCGTATCTCTCTCTCTCTCGTAATACAACGATAAATAAAAAGAAAATATTAACCGACCATCTGATATATATATAAAAAAGAAGAGAAATCATAATTTAAAAAAGTATACAATATCTAAATAAAACGAACGATACAACATCCAATCTCACGCTGGTTGTCGCAGATACCAAAAAGAATTACGAATAGTAGAATAATACAATAGCCGGTACAAATTATATACAAATGTACCCGTGGACATACATCTAGGTAAAAAAACAAAAAAAAAAAAATAAAAGAGTAAAACGGAGTAAAAAAAAAACAGAGGGTGGACGGACGTAGGTGGGAGGGAGGGTGGTAGGTTTGAAAGAAAGAAAGGAAGCAAAAAAAAAAAAGCAAAGAAATGGAAAGAGCGAGCTGACAGGGATGAGAGGTGGGAATGAAATGAAAGAAGAGAGTGTGAGGGTTGGGGTGGTTGTGGTAGGGTGGTTGTGGGGGGGGATAAATCTGGTAGGGATACACGAGGATGCGCAAAGTACAGATTGGAATGCGCAAGCGCGGGACAATTTAAATCCTAGAAGGTTAGAAGAGAAATTCGCATATGTGTGTGTGTGTGTGTGTGTGTTGGGGAGTCAAATTCTAACACACAATGATGCAAAGGTGTATACGGATAGTAAGTATATATATATATATATATAGATACCGTTTTCAGTACATACACACGTAGATCAGAGAACGGGTGGTGGTTTCCGCGCAATCAAGAGGTAGGGGGGTGCTTTAGGAGAGGTTTCACTATGGTAACCATAGTAACGGCACGTAACACCGCCCACAACCCTCAGGCTGTCTTGTCCGATGTGTTTGCTCGATGATTTTATAACAATTACGGCCTATCCCCGTATTATTGCCTATATATGCCTACTCCCCCTCTGGCAATGCCACATTTTCGCACACACATTTACAAAAATACTTATATGTATTTATATTTATATATATGTATATATGTATATACTTGCATAGCTTCTTAGAGAGACATATATAACTATCAACCTTCTCATCCTCATCATCGTCCTTCTCCTCCTCCTCCTCCTCCTCCTTCACCTCCACCTCCTCTTCCTCTTCGTCTACGATGAGAAGAAGCTATGACAATTCTTCTTCCATCAGGTAACACTACACAACGCAAGTAGTAAGTATAATACTTACCACTAGAAAAGATTGCCACTTGTCTTTTCGTTTTCTTTTTCTTTTTTTTTTTTTTATTTATTTTCTCTTTCAACTCTTTTCTACGATTACTTATTTAATATATAATATTATTACAATGACTCACGCGTAACTAATGTATTTGAATAATTACCACGCGCGAGAAATACTTTATTAATTTTAATAATTGTATATATTATTATTATTATATACGACACTTACCGAGAGATATATTATTTAACATTTATAGATTATACAGGTAAAGTTTCAAACAAATCGAAATATATATATATAAATATATACGATGATTTTATTCTCTTTTTTTATTATTTACTTTTTGCTATCGAACATTAT